CTTTCCTGAGCTTTTACAGGAACCAAATGAAAGTAGTAATAGGTGAACCCTTTCTTCAGTGGATGGAATATATCCCCGGCCAAAGATAAACTTGAGAGAGAAGCAGCATACCAAAAGCTCTAAATTTCAAAACCTACAGACACAGGAGGTTTCAGTCCCCTGCCACTGGAAGCAATTCTTTGTTGCTTTGGTGATTGAATTAGGGAGTTATGTTAGCCCTTTCTGCTCTAAGTAATGAAAAAGCAAGCATCCAAGTTACATTTCTGCTAAAAACTGCTTATACCTTTGACTTGTATTTATTTTGCAGGCTGTTGGGTTTTGATTGTAGAATAGCCTGTAAGGCTACAGCATTCCACTGGAAATTCTCCATATTTTGAAACCCATAGCTGGGTGGAGATACAAGTAACAGTATTTTATTCTCCGGGTTTTGAAACTATCAAGGCAAAGCAGGTACTAAGATGATCGTGAAAGCTGCTAAAAGGAGAGATTGCCTGTACCTGTTTGAAATCATCCAGTGGTTGCTACAGGGGAGAGAAACTTCCCCCTAAAATGTACTTTACCTTGTCAGCTAGCTGTCCAATTGGCGCTTGTAATTGTCCTCTACATATTCAGAAATGAAAGCTTCAGAAATGTGTTTGTTAACCAGTTTACGAACCAGCCTTTCTTCTTACTGATCACTCCTTTTTCTTTTTTTTTAAATTTTGCAGAGTAAGTGCGTCAAGTACTGGCCTGATGAATATTCCCTGAAGGAGTACGGTGTTATGCGTGTTAGGAATGTTAAGGAGAGTGCAGCACACGATTACACACTAAGAGAACTTAAGCTTTCTAAAGTTGGGCAAGTAAGTATTTTAGTAACTCTGTCCTTTTAATTTGGGTTGCAGATCACAAAAAAAATTTGCAGAAATAGACTGTTTCTTTGGAATCAATGAAAGCACTAAGAGATTAATAAATTGAGCCCTGTCTCTTTCTTTGAAGCTCCAGGTTTAGTTCCATACATCTTTCTCTTTGTCCTTGAGATAATTGAAGATTCTTATACCTAAGCATTTTTTGGCAGAAGATGCACGGCTGCAGGGCTTTGAGGAAATCTGGAAAGAGGGACAATGCTTTGAAGTAATCACACTGAAGTCTAGCTGGCATTTGCTCCCTTTCATGGAGATGGTTGTGCTAGAAAGAGATCGTTGTATGTGAATCTAGTATGTAGAAAGAACATTTAAGGGAAGGAATACAAAAGATGAGGAAGGAAACAGTTAACTACTGTGGAAATAGCACTTCCTTGTTAGGGAACAATTTGGATCAGGGTGCAAAACAAATTGTGTAAGAAGCAAATAAGCAGGATGTATTAGATTGGTATGTCCATGGGATGGAACTGAGTGGGAAGAAGTGCCTAAGGTAAGTGCCACTAGGTATGAATGATGAGTATGACAGATGAAGGTCCTTCGCTGTTGGTCACCCTCAGACAGAACTTTGCCATGGCTTCTAAAGGGGAAGGTGGAAATGTTCTTGGAAACAACTGCATGAGAAAGAGGGAGCTGAGGAAGCAAGTGGTTCAATTGACTCGTCAGGCCAGGAAGAACTCTGGCTCATTGCATCCTTTAAGAGAGTTGTGGTGCTGTGGATACTGAGCAGCAGGTTGGATATGCCACTTTCCGATCTGACTCAACTTTGCCACATAAGTGCTTTTAGCTGGGTTTTGATCTGAAAGATTTTGTTTTCACATGTTGGCATCTTCCTTCCAGGGGAACACAGAGAGAACAGTCTGGCAATATCACTTCAGAACTTGGCCTGATCATGGAGTCCCAAGTGACCCTGGTGGTGTACTAGACTTTCTAGAGGAGGTGCACCATAAGCAGGAGAGCATTTCTGATGCAGGACCAGTTGTGGTCCACTGCAGGTATGGTGGTGCACTATGCCTCTCCTGCTACTACTCTCTAGGTCTTTGGACTTCTGTTGGATGTTGGATTTTTTTTGTGGGGGGAGGGCGGGACTGAAAAATTTAAAAGATTATAATTTCCCCCTGAGAGCTACTCAGACTTTTATCTGTCAAGGTGTTTGTGCTTTGTTTTGTGAAATGTTATGTTCTAGATAGGTGTCAAATGGTTACCTTCTAAGCAGGGTGTCTTTGAGAGTGTGCATCTCTGTACGAATAAACTTCTGGTGGTGTGTGAGAAGGTGGTGCTAGTCTTGGCTAGATGTGTTTCAGGTTGCAGGATCACGGGAGTTCTAGTCTCCCATCCCACCTCTTGTGAGTGCTCTTTCCTCAGTCTTGGCTTATAAATGAGATACTTTTTATAGGGCAAGGAAACATTAGATCTGACCTTGTTTTTTTCTGATTGAAGGATGTTAATAAACACTGAGGTATAGAAGTGCTGTTACGACTTCTGTCTCTTCCATGTTAAGTTGATTAGGTCTCTAGTTACTTTTGGCTGTGTGGCTTGGTTTGACTGGCTATGATTTGGAGGTCTAATGTCTCTTATTATTGGACTATTACTTGTATTAGTGTTTTGGTGTCTGTTCAGAAAGAGCAAAACAATTAACTTTTTTTTTCCTTCTCTTTTTACAGTGCTGGGATTGGGCGAACAGGAACTTTCATTGTGATTGATATTCTTATTGACATAATCAGAGAAAAAGGTAGGTTCCCCCCACTTTTATTTTCCTGTGGGACATTGACAGATACCTCACAGTAAAACAATAGGAGTGTTGATAGAATAGAGGATTCTAGTGATGCTACAAAGTAGGTGTATGTGTTTGCAATAGAAGGGACTTGCTCACTCCTCTTGACTTAGCTGGAACCAAAGTGCTGAAATCCCACTCCAGTTCAGCATAATGAAAACTTTCAACTGAGGATTAGCCAGGAGTCTGATTATGTTTTCCTTCTTATTATTTTTATTATTTATTTTTCTTTTAAAATCATTCATGAGTGTGTCATGTACTGTCAATGTACTCGTGCCCGCTGAATTTGAGTAACTTGTTTTCAGAGAACAGTGTTGTATTTATGTATAAACTGCCAAAAACACTACCTCAGCATGTATGTTGAGCTAGGTTGCATTTAAAGTCATCTTGGAACAGTGTGAAGTGATGGCAGTTTTCTCCCCCAGGACAACTTTCCACATTATGCTACAGTTCCACAGGTCTGTGTATGAGTAGTCAAGGACGAATCCTCTGTGTTAAATGTTAGCAGTCTTGCTTATTGCGAGGTCATTCAACTACGCTGTGTTCTGCCGGAAGATGAGGCCAGTCTCTCCTCCAAAGATGAAGTTTATTTCACTGTTCTTAACATGATGATGATGATTCTTCCTAGGTGTGGACTGTGATATTGATGTTCCAAAGACCATTCAGATGGTGAGATCGCAACGGTCAGGAATGGTTCAGACAGAAGCACAGTACAGATTTATTTACATGGCAGTACAGCACTACATTGAAACGCTACAGCGCAGAATTGAAGAGGAGCAGGTATATTTGTCCTAGAGTATAAAATGTTACACAGGAACATGTTGTCATTGGAACAGGGAGCAGAGTTGCTCGTTTGCTGCCTGTTACTTTTGGAAACCCTGTTCAGAGAAGTTAGCCTATATGTCAATTCATTATGCTTAAGAATTACTTGAACTATTAGGTGGAATTAGAAAACTGTAAAATAGAAACAGTGTGTTTGGCCACTTGCAGAGGAAGAAAATCATCAGTCTGATGGGCTTCTCCAAATGACTGCAGCTGGTGCTGCTTTACCTTCCATGAAAATGCTTGCATGTATGGGATCCTGTCCCCCAGTCCCTGCACCCCAGTTCTCAAATTCCCTTAATATTATCTAGTTTTCTGTGCAGGAAGGAAAAAAGATAAGGCTCTGTCAAATAATACAGAACCTTGTGCTCTATTGAACTTTAAAGAGATTTCCAATCTGTTAACTGTATTTCTAAAGTATGATATTCAAATGCTAGTAGCTCTAAATGTATTTTGGAGTCTTAAATTACATGTTTGTTAGTAAGAGGTAAGTATATTGGACTGAAAGATTGAAGAATGAGTGTGGTGATCTTGCAGTAGTGTCCAACAAAAAGCAGTTAGAGGAGTGATTTGGTGTGATAAGACGAGAAAAGTTTTGGAATATGTGGTGACAACCACAGGACCTTCACCTCTCTCTTCCTGTTTAAGTACTTCATTGCACTCAAGTTTTGCAGTCATTTACAGAAGTTACCTTGTCTTGTAATAAAGAACTGACGTTCTACTCACTGTTGCTTTCATTCTCTGCCCTAACCTTTGGTCATCTGGGATTTTTATCTTTTTGCTTCAGAATTTCAGTATCTTTCCTTCTGCAGCTGGCTTGCTGCTCAGAAGGAGATAAACCCACACAACTGATCAGGCAGATGTGGGGAGCTGCGTGATTAGCGCAGTGCCAGGTGTGAGATGTAATCCCTGTTTAGAGATGGAGTGTGCCAGCTCGGGCTTGGCACTCTTGTGTGGCTTCTTGCTGCTTTGGAGTTTGACAGAGCTTATTTTATATTTGCCTACATGATGTAGATGCACTGTTCAGCAGAGAGGATAGAGACTTTATTCCTTTCCCCAGGACACCTGCTGTGTGCTCTGAGGGTGATTAGACACAAAGTGAAGAACAAGAAATCCCTTGGGTGCACTGTTTTTTTTTCCTGGCTTTGTTGCCTCACTTCACCTTAGAGCTCTCTCATATCTCTGTGTGTGTAATTATGCAAGCTTTGTATCCTCAGCTTTTTGAATATGGTCTCTTTCTGCTGCTGCTGTTTACAAAGTGGGTCTGTAACTCTCTCTTGCTCATTGTAATGGGTTTTGAATAGTATTTTGTTATTGAGGGGAGCAGCATATTTCTCCTATAGTGATGAGGCTCAGTTAGTTATGTTTCATCCTCTATTCCATTACTAGCTCAGAAGGCACAGGTATAAAAGTTTAAGAAACTGGAAACAGAACATTGTTTTACCTCAGGAGGTCTTGACCTATAACAAGGGCTAGTGGCAGTTATAGGCATAAAACAATACCGAACTTTTCAGACAAAAGCAGAGCTATGTGGTGACTATAGGAACTAATGTCCTGAAAAAACCATGGTGAATTTAGAATGCTCCAAAGCATTTTGATAGAGCAGGAAAAGATTGGCTGAGTAGAGTAGTAGAATACTGTAAGGAATGCTTGAGTGTCACCCCAAAAAGATAGTTGGGAATAAAATGCTGTGTTTTGAGAAACTTTAACTTCTGGAACCTTCTTCTCTCTACACTTGCTTTGATTGCAGTTACAAACAGTAAAACCTGAAAGTTGGAAAAAAAAGTGGTGAGGTGAGTTAGGGCACCTGTATAGGAAAGAGTACGGGGTTGTGCTCCCCATCTGCTTTTCAATCTGGATGAACACAAGCCGGCTCTGATAAGACATAAGGTAGTGACATTAGCTAGCCTGTTGTCATGCAGGACTTAACCAACTGGGCTGAAGAAGTGGATATGTGAATAGCTGCATCTGGTCACATAGATATGTCTGATTTTTGTTTATATTCAGGAAGAATTTCCCTCCTCTGCTAGCATTCTCTCTTGCATTGCAATGCTGAGAGCCTCAAGGTTTCATAGCGTTAAGTGTTGCGTTAAATATTGCCCATCTTCTTACAAGCGTAGAAGAAAAGCAAAGTAAATTTGTTTTAGGGTTTGTTTTTTCCTGTGGAAATGTGTCTATATCTACATCTAGGAAACAAGTAGTTCTTACCACGTTTCTTAATAGAAATATCCTTTCTGAATTAGAAAGGATAATTACAGTGAATTAAGTGAAAGGAAGAGAAGCCAGCTATCTACTTTTTCTTGGCTTGTTTTAGCTATTTCAGTCAGCTTAAGTAATAGAACTGACTGATTCTTTTAAAATTGCTTTTACTGTTCAGTTCATCTGTAACTTGAACTGCTATTCATCATCCAGTTTGGGGGGGAGGGCATGTGTGTAGAAATCAAGCCCTAGTTTTGGGCTTTAGAATATTATTGGCAGGTGAGGGGTTTGTACCCATAACACTGTGGAATGCAGCAGAGTTTGAACCTTTGCGTTTTATTTAAGTCTTACTTTTTAGCTTTAACCTTCCAGGTAATTGATGTGGACTGGTGGTCTATTTGAAAGTGATTTGTCAGGAGTGAGTAGGAGGCTGAAAGTGGAGAAGTTCAGTAAAATAACAGAACAAGTTGAGCAAGTTTTGAGCAAGTCTCAGAAGGCTGTCTTGGAAAAACTTCAACCTACATTGCTATACAGAGCGTTCTTAATGGAAACTCAGCAGCCAGATCTCCCCAGAGGCTCTGACAACCTCTGTTGTGAGATTGATTCAGGCCAGTTATTTAGTACTTGTTCGAGCATTTAAAAAAAAAAAAAAAAACAAACCAAAAAAAACCCCCCACAACCCCCCAAAAACAACCAAAAGAAACCCAAACCCCAAAAAGCCCAGTACCCTGTACAATTTTGAAATGGGGCTTTAATTTATATGTAGGTTTCAGTGTACGCATGTGTTGTGCATGTTTGTCTTTTGAAAATTAGGAAAGCCATATCCGCTTTCTTTCCTAGTGTAGCTTTGCTTGCTGGAGCCTTCAGTATCTTTAGATGAATGCCAGCGCAATTGGCTGCAGCTTGTAACATATGCTGCAGAATACAAATAACAGCTTGGGTTCTTTTTATATCAAACCTAATGGGCTAAGATGTTATTTTATTAGAGATCTTGCAAACAATGTTGTTACTCATTTGGCCACATCTCCAAGCTGGAAATAGGGTCAGTGGGAAGCCCACTGGCTGGTACTGTCTATTAAAGAATGACGTGGTTTCTTCTGCCAAGTAAGATGAAGATTGTGTATGAGTGCTGGTTTGTAAGGTTGGTACATTCTGCTGGAGATGGTGGTGGAAAGAGGAATATTGAACAGTGAGGCTTTTCAGGTCTTGTAACAAATAGCTAAAGCCAACCTTTAGGTCTTATCCATATTGTGTGTGTTATCTACAGAATTGAACTCTCTTCTGTTCATGGACAAACATGAATCTTCTAAAAACATACATAATTAGTTATACATGTAATTTCTGCACTACTTCAATGTTGGTTTCTGTTAGTAGTTAAAAACCTGGCTTTTTGTTGTGTTTTGCTTCACAGAAGAGTAAGAGAAAAGGTCACGAATACACAAACATTAAATATTCTTTATCGGACCAGACAAGTGGGGATCAGAGCCCTCTTCCACCCTGTACCCCAACCCCAACGTGTCCAGAGTAAGTTCACTTCTGTTGTTAGTGTGTGAATTTTGAACCCTACTAACTAATCTTCAGGGTTCTTGAATGAGAATGAGTTATGACAGAATCTGCCCTAGACTGTTGCCCTGTGCTTTGCTCTTAAAATAAATTGAGCAAAATAAATTGACACTGAATTATATTGCGTGTACAAACGTGGTTTTCTCAAACTACATTCTTCAGACTGTAAATATTTTTTTCATTTCAGAATGAGAGAAGATAGTGCTAGAGTATATGAAAATGTGGGGCTGATGCAACAGCAGAAAAGTTTCAGATGAGAGAATGTACAGAGACTTCCATGCAAGGGCAGGTATGTATGTTCAGGCGTGAGTGTGCATATCCAGCCTGGAGTTGTGGGGTTTGGAGAAAATATACACAAAACCGAACTATGAGAAGAACTATAGGAAGGACTTTCTAATGCCTGAAATGCTGTAATCTGTCCCTTTTAGGGCATTTAAATTCCAGAAGCTAATTTTGATTGAGTTGCATCTATGCTACCCTTGCAAAACAACGTGGAATATTAGCTTGGTAGTTTGGCCTTTGTTCTTATGTCACTGGTGAGTCAGGACGTAAGTTGGAAGTCTTTATTATTCAGGAGACTGAAATTCTGCATGCTAGCAGAAGATGCGTAGCAATTACAGTCTGAATTTTCCATGTCTTTTATAAGTGATCTTTGCTCCTGGTCGATGCTAAGGATTTGTGTGCATCTAAAGAGATTCAAAGAACACTTAATCTCATCCTCAGCCTCATTAAAGATGCAATGAGCAAGTTTACTGCTGTGCCTGTGTGGTATGAGCAGTTGGTGTAGTATTGTTGTCATACTAGCAAAAATTAAATCCTTGGTTTTGCTGCGATAACAAAGAGTATCTACAGATTTGTATGTTTTAAATATCTGTAATAACTTGGTTCTTGCAATCAGACAACTGAATATATATATAGGTTATTAGCTAATAAGATTATCTGATAGTTCAGTTAATTATCTGTGAATACAGCAAAGGGAGTACCTTTGAATTGAAGGTGTCTTTAGTTATTAACTGCTTTTGGATTCTAATCTAAAGTGTTTTGTCATCTTTCCCCCTGTGTTTTTAAAGACCTCAGAAATCCTATTTTCCCTTTTCTATTTGGTAACTGTAAGTGCGTTTCATCCATTTAGTCCAGGGATCTTCTCCAAGTCTATACACAATCTCATCTTCTACTGCTGAAGTACCACGCAGTTTATAAGCAAGGTTTGAGACTTCTGGTTGATTTTAAGGCTTTCTTGAGTCAAAAATGAGCACTTCTGTATAATGTCAGAATAAGAAATAACTGCTGGGTTTTTTCCTAAATAATTTCTTTTTTCTTCTCCCTTCCTTTCCCAGAAATGAATATGGTTTTTAAAAAGGTCAAGAAAGAGATGGAAGAAGCTTCACATGAGTGGTGAACTCTGAGGGCTTGGTACCTTTTTATTTACGGTTTTAATCCTTCAACAGTAGGCAAAACTTAAGACCATCTAAAGTTGTTTATATCTCTTCTCTCCAATACCTGATTTACAATTGCTCATTTTCCAAATAAAAGGAAATCCTTTCTACAGTGTAGACAACTACTTTGTAGAGTCAGTTTTGAATCCTGCAAACTGTTGGACTGTCATCCATTTGTTTTTTAAATAGTATTTTTGTTTCACAGTATGGCTATTAGTTGGGTTTTTTCCTTATTTGAGCAGTTGTGGGGTTTTGTTGGGGTTTTTTTTGGGGGGGTGGTGGGAGAGCAATGTTATGCATAAATCCGTTACATTAGTGTAAAATACTGATGGGAACAATACTTGATTGTTGGAAAACAGTGGATCACCAGCGTGAATAGAATCAGCTAAATGATAAAATTAGTCCTAATACATTTCAAACTCAGACTGAGTTTCATAGGGGTGAACAGTTATTGATATGAAGGTGCTTTTTTGTCATAACTGATGGCTTTGATTACAACTTAGCTGAGTGGCTGGATGGGCTATTTTTGCATAATTATGCAAGGTAGCCTTTACATCAAACAAAATTTCTTTTACATGATCTCTACCCAAAATAAAATTTACTGTATCTCAAAAGACACAGTGGCCTAGTGGTTTGTGAGGACACTGTCTGTGTTAATTTTGTCTGTTCAAGAGATTGAACTTGTAGAGTTAAGGTATTTGAAAAAGTTGCATGATGACACTTGACAGCATATTAAAAACAGTGAAACAAGTAACCCACTGTGCAGGCTGTTACCTTAGTGTAAGGTAACCCTCTTCCCCTTCTGCTGGGGAGGTGGAAGCTGTTGAGCCTTCTGTTTTTTTAGTAAGGCCTTATGCTAGTGTAAGTGGCTAAATTAAAGTTGTGTGCAGAAAGCAGTGCATGGAAGCTAGCTATCCACTAAAATTGCCTTAGTTGAAAAGGGCAGCACGGGCAGCAAGGCTAGCAGGCTTGTTCTGGTTCGTTTCATCAGGCAGGAGTTTATTACCGTTCTACCTGAAGTGCCTTTCAGAGCTGCATTGAATTTGCTGTCCCTTGTTAGATTAAAAAATTACGTTCATCTGAAACCACTTCTGATTGTTGTCAATGAGACAAAGTCCTCTTCTAGAGACTCTAGAACGAAGAACTGCTGTTAAGCTGCCAATTAATTGGGTTTCTTCGCTTTGTTTGCTCTGTCCAGTTATCTGGACCAGAAGCTCCCCTTGAAGCCATTAGCAGCTGCATGTGTGCATTAATGGCAGAGTCGGTCCCTAGGAGTGGGTACCGGTGGTGTCTTACCAATGTCTTTCCCCATGCTTCTGGGGAAGTTCTGTGACTTAAGTGGTGTTAAGGAGTTATTGCCATTTTCATACAGCAGGTGCATACATTAAATTGCTGTATGCAGGGGTGCAGGGCCAACGGAATTGCGTTATTGGCCTTACTAGTGAAATTATGCTAAAGCCTGGAATGTAATTAATGCAACTTTGTGAAAGGTTAAGTGGGAGATTACATTACCTTTTCCTGAGAGTGCTTTGCAAAATCAAATATTTGAACACTTTGAACTGAATGAAGGTGCTTCTTTAATGTTAAGCAGAATTGTGTTACTTTGCCTGTTGTCCTTTTTGTCTTTTGAGGCTTTGGGTTTTGGGGGGGGGGGGGGGGGGGGGGGGGTTTTTTTTGGGGGGGGGGGGGGTTTGGTGGTGTGGTTTTTTTTTTTTTTTTTAAACTCCTGTCACCAGCATAACATAATATGTGTTTTAATGTCATAGCCTTATACTCGTCATAAATACTTGTGCCCTTTCTAGATCTAATATTTCTAGTCATGATGAGAGAGAAATCTGTTCATTTGGTAGCAAGACACCTATTCTACATCGCCTGCTTCCTCTTCTGTCCCTATTTACAGCTTCATCCTGCTGTTTTTTTTATCAGTTATATGTGTTGGTATTTGTATAGAGCAATTGACAGCAATTCTACACTTCATACGTTAGAGCAAGGTGGAATGCATGTTCAGGTTTGGAGCTATTCTGCCCCAAACAGAAAAGTCAGGGGAAAAGTCAAGAGAAACGAAGAGAAGGATCCTGAATGAATCTGAACTCTGTTATGATCTCGGTTAATGTGATGTGTCTTAAAAGGTTGACCTGTATAAGCAGCAATCAGTTACGTGGCCATGTGAAGTTGCCTCTTATGACCTCATTTTAGCTGTTTAGAACCTGCCGCTGTAGGTTTTCGGGTTTTTTTGTGGGGTTTTTGTGTTTTGTTTTGTTTTTTTTACCAGGGAATTTTTACTGCAGAATGTGTATTAATCCTGGGGAGCATATGGTGGAAGAATGTCAATGAGGGGGGAACAGAATCTGAAAGATTGTGAATAAATACTCCTCTCTTAACTGGAGTGTTAGGCCCTGCTGAATACCAAAGGGGAGACCTTGCAAAATAGAATCTGTCTGCCTTTCATGCACCAGCAAGAGAGGGATGATTCTTAAAGCATGGGGGGGTTGGTTTTTGGGTTTTTTTTAAATTATTTTAAACAATGGCTGGGGTTTATGACAGATGAAGCAAGCAAGAGTAATGTCCTTTGGTTCAGGGGAGATAAGTGAATGTGGGTTTCATGTATTTCTAGTGAGTTTTTAGAGAATAAATTTTAAGCATTGATTTGCAAGCTTTTGCTGTATCAATGGAATGGAAAAGGGATGCAGTTTTGAAGTGTTCTGTTGTAGAAGACTTTATACCACAAGGGAAACTTTAACCCAACTCCTAAGGCACAATAATTTATGCCAGCATGAATTTGCTGCAGACTTCATTTACTGAATGTTTTATAGCATACACTTTAATTTCAGCTAACTGTTGTTAGGACTGATTGGTTCTCCTATTAATCCTGACCAAACTTTACTTTTTCCTCTTAAGATATGTGTTTGAAACACGATTAACTAGGATATGGCTAACGAAGTTATAAAACATGTTTCCTTTTTTGTTGTAGGGATGGGAAAAATCACAGCTGGTACTAGGATGTGTTGTCAGGTTTTGATTTTCTACCCATAACTTCATTATTTCAAATTAATTTTTAATTTCTCCCTTTTAAATAGTGAAACATAATTAATAATTTCAAGCCTGTTTATTTATGACATTATTGTGATTTTTTTTTTTTTATTACAGTACTAAAGACTAATGAAAAAGGATCCTCTTATTAGGTGGAGAAGACCTTGCATTTTTTTTTTTTCCTGCAATGTATGAAGTATTGTACCAGAGTATTAAATGAAATGTAATATTTTATTGAAAAATCTCTGTCCTTTAAAAGGAATACGTTTAGGATGTCATCAATTTGATGTGAATCATGTAAATGTTGATAATGCGCTGTTTATTATACATCTAGTGTTTCAAAAGACTCACTTACTGCCTTTTGCCCACATACATTCTGTAGACCATCTACAATTGTCAAAATGTGACATTAAAATAATAGTTCATGTATAGAAATATTGGTGGTTGTCCATTGTTTTCCGTGCTGGTATTTATGGGTCTTGGTTCAGCTGCTCTGCTAGCTGCATTGTGATTTTTATTGCTGCGAAGCTATATTATCAGAAATAAAAGCATATCTGTAAACATCAGAACTTCAAAAACCGGAAAACAAAAAAAAAAAAGAAATTGGAAAAAAAAAGAAATAAAAATCATTTTCTTAAGATGGTTTGTCAGTTATTCTGTTCTCCAGCTTGCAGTCAGAAAAGATGGTGTTGTATGGGCACTAATCTTCAAGTCTAGATCATAGTGTTTCCAAGCTGTACTGCCGAGCCCCCCGCGGGATGAGATGCTGTTGAAGAGAGCAGCTGTCCTTCCTGAGAGCCAGTGGAGCAAACATCTTATTAAATATGATGTATACGAGCTTTTATCTTTGTGTTCCTACCATCCGCTGCCAGCTGGCTGCCCTGTGGGAGGTTCTCCGCGCTGTCCAGGTACTGCCTCTCCAGTGAGCCCTGGATGGCTCGTGTCCTGGGAGTCCTGCGCTTGTGCTCCTGCAATGGTCAGGTGTCCCTGCTGCCTCCTGCTTTCCTTTTCCTGCTCCGCCTCCGGAGAATTAACCCTCGTCGTTTCTTTCCTGATTTTTGAACTTGGTGTGGAACTTCCTCAAAACAGAGATGAGGATTAGCCTCTCTCTTTTTTTTTTTTTTTTTTTTTTTTTTCTGATTATTAGTGTGTAATCAATCACTTTTGGGGAAAGGAAGGATAATCCTGTCCTTTCTCTGTCCGTGGCGCATCCTTTCTCTGTCCGTGGCGCACTTAGCTGCAACCAGCTCTTCTGGGGTGAGGGAGAAAGAAGCTGTTGCTCTCGCTCCTGCTGCTCCTTCCTTTCCAATCTTTCATCTCTTGCACCATTTGTCTTTGGGGCTCTGCTGTTGCCTGAGATCCTTTTATGCCAGCACCATGCAGTGACTCAAGAGGGACTGGTGCTTTGAAAAGGAGCTGTATTGTGCCCCAGGCTCCTTTCTGCCAGCTGCTGCTACCGTACTTCAAAAGCTATCAAAATTCCTGACTCTCTGTAGCACTTGGAGCTAGACACTTCCAAAAATGTAATGTCCTACCTGTCCTCTAGGCTGGAGCAGAAGAGCCCTAAGTATGTGCCCCTAAGTATTGCGTACCAGTCTAATTTTAGGTCCACTAATACTGCTCTTTCTTTCTTAGAGCCGTTGGGAATGTTCCCACTAGGCATGTCATTGCTGTTACTGATTCCCAGAAATTAGACAGCCTGTGTGGCTTCACTAACATGTGAAGGGTTTTTAATTCAAGGAAAGGTTCCACTAAGCTTTAACTCACCCCTTGATCCTGCTTTCGGGGCTCAGTGGTAAAAATGCAGCTAAGCCATGCTGCAACTTTTTAGGAAATAAATGCTTTATGTTGTAACACAGACAACATGAGCCATGCCGGTTGAACACAGAGCAAATATCAGCTGAATTTGTAGTAAAACAAGCTTAATCTCAAGGCAATGGCAAAGCATAGAGATAATCTACTGAAATGCCAAGAAGGAGGCAAAGCCCTGCGGTTGAGGCCTCTGCAGATCCACATACAAGCTGAATTCAAATGAGGACAGTAGTTATGTAGAGCAGCTTGGTTTTAAGGCGATTATCCTGCAGAGAAAGTGTGTGGGTTTTTTTGTTGTTTTTTATGAATGCGTCTAACAGTTTGCATCCACCTCTGTGTATAGCAATGGTTTTAT